TTTCTCTTTGGATACATTTTATCACAATTTATGCCCCCAAAAACATTACTGGGAACATGAACAAGATAAAGAAGGTAGTATGTCTTGTTAGTTTCGTTAACTGTTAAAACTAAAGCCTTCAAAGGACTGTACATGATTAGGGCTTCACAACTATTTATTTAAAGCCTTGTTTTGTCTCTGTTCATGTTTATAGAATATGAAATACTCAGTGAGGCAGACTTAGTGCATATATGATGTCTGTGTAAATCTCAGGGCTTCAGAAAGACTCTGCCTGTTCTCCCATAAAACAAATTCTGCCACTCAGCTGCTGCTGCCTTCCACATATATGTGGTTTGAATTTCCTAATTCTGAAATTCTCAGTTGTATCAATGATAAGTATTTGTATATTTAGTGTCTTTCTACCTGTTCTCCCATAAAACAAATTCTGCCACTCAGCTGTTGCTGCCTTTGACATATGTGTGGTTTGAATTTCCTAATTCTGAAATTTTCAGTTGTATCAATAATAAGTATTTGTATCTTTAGTGCTACCTGAGTTCAAGACACGATGATATGGTTTGGCTGTGTCTTCACCAAAACACAATTTGAATTGTATGTCCCAGAATTTCCATGTGTTGTCGGAGGGGTGAGTGTGGAGGGTGGGGCAGTAATTAAATCATGGGGGTCCAGTCTTTCCTGTGCTACTCTCATGATAGTGAATAAGTTTAATGAGATCTGATATGTTTATTAGAGGTTTCTGCTTTTGCTTCTTCCTCATTTTTTCTTGTGCTGCCACCACATAAGAAGTGCCTTTCCCCTCCTACAGTGATTCTTAGGCCTCTCCAGCCATGTGGAACATGTAAGTCCAATTAAACCTCTCTTTCTTCCCAGTCTCAAATATGTCTTTATCAGCAGCATGAAAATGGACTAATACACATGATTAGTGAAAGATTAGAAAGCCACATTAATCTTCTCAAATATGCCTATATATTAATACGTTGGTTGAAATCAATGCTACTTTTTCAGAAAATATTTTCTATTAAGTAAAGTAGGCAACAGGATTTAAGTGATAAGAATATACCTATTGACGATTAAAGTTAATTCAGATATTTTCAGACCTTGTAAACATTTTTTTTCTTTTTTCCAAATTATCCCACATGCTGTTTGCTAGCCATGGAGTTAAAATGAAATCAGTTGGAGATTGCTTTAGGGAAGCCATGGTAAAACCACATGCAGGTGGGAAAATTTATTAAGTTTTTTCCTGGGCACATTAGCTTGATTAATGGATCAAATTTGTGAGCTGCCACTTTGGACAAAGAGAAGATCAGGTAAAGGTGAGCTCAGTGGGGAAAGAGTGATCCTAGGAAGGAGGATCACGGCAGGTAAGGGTTTAGGTGGCAAGGGCCTGGAGAAGTAACTGAAAGGTAGCAGAAATGTACAAGACTGATTTTACTTAGTCACAGTTATATGAAGGGCATGAACGCCTGCGACAGAGAAGCCCCAGCTGCTAGAAATTGGCAGTTGGTGATATACTAGCATAGCAGGAAGGAAACTTATCTGGGAGGCAGGAATTATGGTTTGATCTGGGCTCTGCATTAATCAATTTGTGGTTTTGGATAAACTGTGATTTCAGTTAAGGCCTCACTTCCTCAGTTATGAAATAATGGAGTCATACCATTTAAACCATCTGTTGTACCAGTAACATTATGATTCTAAGATTAGCTGATTCTGTGTGTAACGGGAACATTTCTCAAGTCCCTAGGTAGAGCTGAGAAAAATATGCATTGTTGTCTTCTGAAAATTGATCAAATTTACTTTCAGCTTCTGATTTTGTGTTTTCAAGTTAACTAGTACTTTTGTGCCCATTTGCCTCTCTACCTTTCCATTGATGAGAAATGAATTGACAGCATTACACATAATTTATAATTATTTTCAGAAACACACTAAAAATCTTTAAAACTGACATTTTCAATAATTTTAAAATGTCTACCAAATATATATTTTTAAAAATCCTAACACGTTTTTACTGTGTATTATTTTATACTTAAAAAAATACAACTTCTGTTTTCACCAAAAGTGTTGATAGAAAACAAATGGCACGATATTATACAGGAGATCTTAACATAATATCTTTACTGTCTTTTTTCTATCTATGGTTATTAAATTGCTTGTACTTTCTGTTAGTTTGGTTTTACCAACATTAAGAATTCATATGTAGTCATGTGTTACTTGCTGACAGGGATATATTCTGAGAAACGTGTCCTTTGGTGATTTAGTCATAGTGTGAACATCATTGAGTGTACTTAGACCTAGATAGTGTAGCCTACTACATATCTAAGCTATATGATATAGCCTATTATACGGGACTACAAACCTGTACAGCATGTTACTATACTGAGTGTTGTAGGTAACTGTAACACAATGGTAAGTACTTGTGTCTCTAAACATGTCTAAATATAGAAAAGACACAGTAAAAATATGGTATAGATGATAATGGTACACCTCTATAGGGGATAAACTGAGATTGCAGGACTGGAAGTTGCCCTGGTTGAGTCAGTGAGTGAGTGGTGAGTGAAGGTGAAGGCCTAGGATATTACTGTGCACTGCTCTAGAGTTTATAAACTGTATACTTAGGCTACATTAAATTTATAAGGAAGATTTTTTTAATAATAAGTTGAGCTTAGCTTACTATACATTTTTACTTGATAAGATTTTTAATTTTTTAAACTTTTTGCTCTTTTGTAATACTTAGCTTAAAACAAAAACACATTTTTCTTTATATTTTATTTCTTTATTCTATAAGCTTTCTCTATTTTTATTTTTTTTTTTACTTTATAAACTTGTTTTGTTAAAAACTAAGACACAGACACAATACATTAGCCTAAGTAGGTTAGGTTAATGTATTGCGTCTGTGTCTTAGTCATCACATCAGAATCATCAATATCGCTGTCTTCAACCCCCATGTCTTTTCCCACTGGAAAATCTTCAGGGACAGTCACATCCACGGAACTGTCGTCTCCTATGATAACAATGCCTTCTGCAGTACCTCCTGAAGGAAATGCCTGAGGTTACTTTACAGTTAACTTTTTTTTTTTAGGTAGAAGGAGTACACTCAAATAACAATAAAAAGTATAGTATAGAAAATACAGAAACCCATAACAGTCATTTATTATCATCAAGTATTATGTACTGTACATAATTATATGTGGTATGCTTTATATGACTGGTGGCACAGTATTTGTTTATGCTAGCACTACCACAAACATGTGAATAATGGGTTGCAATGACTATGATGTCATGAGGTGATAGGAATTTTTCAACTTCATTATCATCTTATAAAACCACCATTGTGTATGCAATCCACCATTGACAGAAACATCATTATGCAGCACATGACTGTACAATCCCCTGGCTGCTCATGTAACATGATTCCACATTAAAAATTACCCCTAAATGGAATAAAAAAATTCAGAGCACACATCACCTTAGTGATGAGATGTATTGTTTAAGTAGGGAATTGAATCAAAAGAGTTTTGAAGTAAATATAGAAATCTACATAAAGTGAGCATATGGAAGATGCTAGAGAAAAATGCTATAGTTTCCTAGACAGGAAGAAATACCAGCAGCTGGCTATGCTGTTAGCACAGATGGAAAGAGATGACATATATTCTAATAGATAAAAATATTTAAGGCATAGAAAATTCCAATAAATTAGGGAAATTTATAGTTTATCATCTAAACTTGGTTAGAAATTTTACAGAGCATTAAGAGAGAAAATGAAAAAGACATTGGTCATAAAGAATTACAGAGCCATTTAGCCAAATATTCAGGCCCCATAGAAATTATTTCCTCTGGTCACACCCCTGAATGTAAATAATATTTGAGGTTTTCCACTGAAATTGAGCTCTACCAAGGGAATGTGAGTGAGAGTAGGGCAAGTTCTTAGGAGTTTAGTCTTTTTCCTCTCTGTAGAATTAAGAAAAAAGAAATTGCAAGTGACCTGAAATTCAATGAGACAACATAACAGTTTCAGTGAAAAAGTTCATCTGATTCACAATGGGAAAAAAAACTGAAATGGGGTTTTTGCTGAAAGAAGCAGCATTTATAACCAGAAAAGATTTTTTATTTTTTTAAAAGCAGGAAAGAAAAGCTGTCTAAATCATTATAAGAAAACAAGATGTGGCTAGAAAATCATGGTAATTCTTTGTCTGTTCCTCTTCGAGATTAGGAAACTGTATTACAGCTACAAAAAAAAGGTGACCAAGAAGGACTGTTGGAAAGTGTTGAGGCATCTGAATTGCTGACGTTTCTGCTGCTTTCATGGCCCAGGATTTTGCAGCCTGGAAGGCAAGTGGAGAACAGGGAGCCAGTTAGCTCAGCTGGCATTCATCTTTAGAAACAAAATGATAATGAGAAGGCACAATTATTTTGAACTCCTTTTAATCTAGACTCCTCCTGGGTCAGATAATAGGACTTTATGTGTCTGGTTAAGGCACTTCCAGTGTGTTTAGGAATCATGGATTAGCGTTGGAGAGATTTAAAAACAAAACATAACAAAAATTCCAACAGTCTATTTAACATAATGAGGTTATATGCAAAACAAGTTTTAAAATAATCTTTTAGAGTAACTTAAATGCTACCCTAGTAAGTAAAGGAGGTGAGATTTAAACCAGGTGGTTTGGCTTTAAAGGGAACACTCATTACACTGCTACCTTTTATTGACTGCATTGGCCTGAATGTCCCCCAAATTCAAGTGTGGAAACTTAAGCCACACTGTGGTTGTATTAAGAGGTGAGGCTGTTTGGGAAGTGAATAATTCAGGAGGACTTCATGATTGAATTTGTGCTTTATTAAAGGGCTGGAGGGAAGTAGTTTATGCTCTTTTTTCTTTTGTTAAATTTTTTTTGCCTTTCTGCCTAATACCATGTGAGGACACAACATTTGTCCCCTCCAGAGGATGCAGCAATAAAGTGCCATCTTGGAAGCAGAGACAGGGCCTTCACCAGACACCAAACCCGAAGATGCCTTCATCTTGGACTTTCAGCCTCCAGAACTGTGAGGAATAAATTCCTATTCTTTTACAATTACCCATTCTCAGGTATTTTGTTGTATCAATACAAATAGACAAGAGATGAAGCAGGATAGGTAGTCAAGGAAGTGACCATGTCCTCGGGATTTAGCAATCATAGTGACTGCATCATCAGCCCAATAAGCCCCAGCATTTGTATTGTCGTCAAGCTCATTCAAACAGAGCTATCCCCAGTAGAAAATTTCTCTGTACGGCACATGCATGTTTGGACTTTACCTGTCCTAAGACTGACCCTTTGCTCATTATAATAGTGAAAACCACACCCCAAGTGGAGATTTACGATGCTAATGAGACATGACTCTTAATTCCTTATCGTCCCTGGCCAAAGACTGCAGAAGCCCAAGGCAAACAATGGCTCTCATGCAGCAATCAGTCCCAATCACAACAGTGGAGCCTCGGGTGCCTTAGATGGGGCAGGTAAATATATCAACACAGGGGTTGGCCTGTCAATCCTCACTTTCTGTCCTGGATCTCTGTCTGTCAAACATGACACTGTCATTCATGTTAACAGCAAACGCCGAACTAGGATTGTCACGCCACCTCATAGCTGACCAACTTCTACAGTAAAACTTGGAAATATGGGGCCTTGGGCACACTTACCAAAAATTAAAAAATTTTCCTTTTAAGTCATCACAGAAATCCACAACACAGACTCTAAATTATTCCAGTAAAGCACTGATGGATCTAAAGTGTCTGTCCAAAAAACAGCCAAAACTCAAAATATCTAACAATTAATATTGCCTCAGCATAAGCTTCTATTAAAAAAAAAAAACAAAAAACAACTCACGGTGAGACTGCCTTAAAAGATAAGTAATGTTTCATTTTTTTCTTATGTACTCACTGTACATTAGGCACTCTTAGTAAAATGGCTTTATCTGCCAAAGAAATAATAAACCATACTACTAGCTTATTAAAATTAATCCAACCTTCCTGACTTTACTACTGAAAGTTAAAAATATGCCAGATCTGTGCCCCAAGAAGACTGAACCAACATTTCTGTATTCCTCCTGGAACAAACCCATTGGCCCATAAAATAATAATATCTGGCCAAACAATACGAAGAGATTTCCTTGGACCTGGCTATGGCCAGTTCAAACTTCCACTTTTAACTGTAACTCCCCTCTGCCAAAGAAAAAATGCTTTCTTACCTTACCTTTTACCCAGAACGATTCTCCTTCTGCTTTTACAACAATCATGCCAGTTTCACTACTTTCATAGAAAAACTCCACAAGAGAGTCAATATAACTAAAGCTTTTTAGTTATATTGGGTCATCCATACACCTTATGCTAAAACCCTGAATGGGAAATCATTAAAAACATATTTAAATCACCCAACTCTGCCATCCTCTCATATGCACGGTGACTGCCAAACTTCTATTACTTTTACCACCTCAATGCAAAATGCTTTTACAACACAAATTTCACCATCACAAAAAATCTGGGAGGAATTTATAAATCTTTGACATATCTACAATTTCCTGCACAATGAAACAGACAATGCTCCATCACTAAATTTTCCCTTATTTAACTTTCACATAGGCTAATGCATCTCTCCCTTTCCCCATATATCAACATCACAAGATCCACCACTGAAAAAAACCCCTTATTCTCTTAGATTTAGTACTGCCCTCTCTACTAAAATTAACAAGGTCAGCCACGAGAGGTGGAGCCTTAAAAATCCAACATAAACTGTCTCAAAAAACCACAGTGGCCTCTGACAAATTACAAAGGGCTTCACTAGATTTCAACAACTAGACTCCCTGGCTACTGTAGTCCTAAAGAGCCTTATATCTTCTCACAGCCAGACAAGAAAAAACTTGTTTGTATCTAAAAAATAAAATACTGTTTTTACATTAATCTGTCTAGTCTGGTCCGAAAACATATTAAAAATATCATTATCCAAACAGACAAAATTAAATCTTTAAAAACTTCCATAGAGACTTAAAAACAATATCTGTTTTCTGCCCTGCTCCCTTTAATAGTGTCAATTATTACAATACTTTTAGCTTTACATTTTGGTCCAGCTTTGTTTGAAATGCTAACAACTTTGCTTGCAACTAACACAAATTGTTAGTAAAGCTAACAGCTTTCCTTTAATCACTCTCTCGCAACAATTCCAAGTCCACATGATGGTTTTACAAAGCTTCCAACCTTTGACTACTAATAAAACATCTCACATCTTGCCCACCAGTCTCACAAACGACATGGCTTACACCCCATTGAACAAGACAGAAAAACAACTCTAGGGCCCAGACTTGGCAGGGACAATGCCCCACTCAGTAGGAAACAACTCCAAAATAGTAAAAATAACAAAAATAATAAATAAATAACCTAGCTCTTCAGCCTCCTGTATTATGGGCCCTAAATCTCTTCTTAGTAAAGAACTGAAAAAAAAAAAAAAAAAAAAAAAAA